GATTCATCTATCCAGGATGTCCATAATATAATATTTTAAACTTCGAACACTGGATATTATTTTAAAAGCTTACCTTGCAAGCTTTCAACCACTGCTGTGGTCTTGTCATCTGATCTTGTTATGACGTCAGAGCGGTTCTCGTCAGTGGGCTTCGTTAGGCCCCGCGCCTCCTTCTGCTCTTTGATGATGTTATTCCATGGAGGTTCACTATAATACCTCCATGGTTATTCTATACGGCGGGTAGATTAAATCTACCTGCATCTCTTTTCAGCGTCGGGTTTGTTAATTTTATAAAGATTGCTCCACCTCCAGAACCATAGGCGAGCGTGCAGTTTGAACCAGCGCCGATATTATGGCTGTAGGTTGCGGCGTCCCTGCCTTAACCGCTCAGCCTTATATTTAAAATATTATATTATTATTATTATTATTATTATTATTATTATTATTATTATTATTATTATTATTATTATTAATAATCAACGTTAACGAAAACGACGAATATGATAACCAAATAACTGACTGATCTAATACATCAGTACACACCAATTGTAGGCAATGCATTTTTTCCCAGCATTTTACACATTCCAAGTCCACAAACTGCCTGCTTTTACGGGTTACGACATTTGTGATGTCCGTAGTGTGTGCGGGACACACGTTCTAGACCATGGACAAAATATGACTCCATTTAAAGTACTTGATACATTTGCGGTCAATAGTAGCTTATTTATAATAGGAAGTTGATTATAGATAAGAAGACATTATGAGGTTTAATCGCCCATTATTACCTTTAGCATTCAATATGCCTGCAATTATATGGCACATTCTGCAACATTACACAGTACCTATTTTTAGCTTATTGCATGAAGACAACTAAAGTAAGAAATATACTATTTAAAACAGGCCTATAGACGTCATCATTCTCATTATCTTTATCATCCTCTTTAAACCATTACAATCACCCTAGCTTAGGTTAGTTGCTTCCCATGTTAGTGATAATTACTTCATGTTATTTATTTTTCTTTATCACAGGTAGCAGCACAAAATGTCAAGGGATACGGAAATTATTCATCCAGTTTAATTATCGAAACAGAGGAAACCAGTAAGAACTCTTGCTCTAAACAACTATCCAGTTACTTAAGAATACTTATACATTATGATTAATAAATTATATATAATCATACATTTTACTAATTACTTCTTGCAGGGTGTAGATGTACCATGTGCAATGTTACATGGAGTATAGCAACTTTGGTTTTATTTGTTCTCACCGTCTATTTAATATTCTTCATCAGGTAAGAGAGAAAACCACATCTTAAAAACGAAGTTCATAAATTTCATATTATTATTTTACATTTGATTTATAAATAACAATAATAGGACCAACCATGCGCTTTAATGGCCCGTTCTACATCGAGATAATGCAACCTGGGTACTGCTGGCGGCCGCCACATAATTATCTGGCGGCCGCCACTTAATTATCTTGCGGCCGCCACTTACTTAATGGGTACCCAGGTTGCGGTATAGCATTATCTCGATGTAGAACGGGCCATTAAAGCGCATGATTGGTCCTAGCATTAAATACGGTACCGGTAGCATTTATGGGAGCAGGCTGGTTTACCCTGGACATTTTCCCCCCGGACAGTTTCCCCTGGTATTTTCCCCCTGGACATTTGCCCAGTTGTTCATGTAAAAGCAAAAGTGATAACTTTGTTTATTTTGGTTTATTTTGTATTGTTAAAATTATTATAAAATATTGTTACAATAGATAGGCCAAAGTACAGTACTTCAGTATTAGAAAATATAATTATGTAAAAATTGTTGCATTTTAAATTGGTAATTAAGGAAAAGTACTTCAGTATTACAGTATTAATATATTTTTATATATATTTTTTTTCATTTCATACTACCAGTATTATGTAGATCTTGTTACTTTGTGGAACTGAATAAAGGCTAGATGATTTAGATTATGTAATGTAGACAAAAGTAATAACCTTGTTTAATCTATATTGTTACATTATTAAATAAGCATTTCTATAAAATAAAAGTACGGTACTTCAATATAAAAATTGGATCATTTTATAAATTATAATTTCACATTTTATAAATCTTGATACTTTGTCAAACTGAATAAATAAAGGATAATAAAAGATGTAGACCTTCACATATTTCTTGTACTGAAGTTATTTAATTTGTTAATGCATAGTTAAAATACTATTTCAAATTGGCCTTCAGTCTTATTGAGTGAACTAAATATTATATGGATAACTATCTACCTACTTAAAATTATGAAAATAAAAAAATAAAATGTATTGGGAACATGTACAGTATAATTGAGAGAAAATATAATGCATGGGGGTAATTGTCCTAGGGGAAAATTGTCCTGGGGTGGGCAAAAGTCCGGGGAGCAAATGTCCAGGGGGAAAAATCCCGGGGGAAACTGTCCGGGGGAAAATGTCCAGGGGGAAACCAGCCTAGAACCAGCATTTATAAGCATTGTAGTAGGCTTAGCTAGTCATTTTAGCTACTAGCTTGTAATAGCTTATAATAGCAGTCATATAGCCATTTCACAAAATATATCTATATCTTTGCTGTAGCACATAAACTGTATTGTATGTTCTATATTTGTTGTTATGTCATTGTGATTGTCTGTTATAGCTGGGTCAAATATTAAAGGGCATTAAATAGTGATTAAAAGCATACTAGTAGCTGGTCACCAGCTATACCTTATAATGGCAGTCATATAGGCCTAGCACCCATTTCAAAAAATATTAGCAATCACAGGGTTAAGTAAGATAATTAAGTGGCGGCCGCCACATAATAAGTGGCAGCCACCAGATAATTATGTGGCGGCCGCTACTTATTATCTGGCGGCCGCCAGATAATTATGTGGCGGCCGCCACTTAATTATCTGGCGGCCGCCAGTTAACGGATCTGAAATTTTAATTCACTGGTGGCAATAACGGGCTTCCGTACATATCTCCGCCCACAGTAAATATAGCTTGAACGCCCTGACGTTGAACTTTTATGGGTTGAAGTGAAAATAAGTAGAAGACGGTTGTCATAGGAGTTGTCTATAGAGCACCGATTTGTGGACGGGAAAACATATTAAAAATAGCTCAATCTGTTGAAGATGCAACAGCTGTCTACCCTCGTCATCAAGTAATTCTGGTTGGCGATGTAAACCTTCCCAATATCGTATGGAAAAATGATGGCACTGGGTTAGCACCCACCAACTCTATTGACGAACTCTTTTTAGATAGTTTAATTTCTAGTCTTAATTTATTTCAATGTAATATGAGCCCTACGTGCAATAATAACATTCTTGATTTAATTTTATGTAGCTCATGTGAACTTTTACCGACACCGTTATTGGTCGAGATATCTTCCAGTCTGATCATTCTTCTATTGAATTTTTTTTAAATTTTCGGACAACTAATTTTTGTTATAATAAATGTAGAAAATCATATAATTTCAAAGCAATTAACGACAAAGACCTTATTAGTCTGTTTGAAAACATTCCTCTTGACATTATTGTTCCCAGTTATGATGTTAATGAAAGTTTAACTCTATTTTATGATCTAATTGACGCCGCACTCCGTGACCTTGTCCCCATTAAGACATTCAGGCGCAAAATGCCGCCTTGGTTCGACCATGAAGTTAGAGCCGTGTTGAGGCGGAAGGAACATTTTTTTCGAATGTGGAAAAAATATGAACTAATACAGTATAAAAACGAATTCAATACAGCCAGGAAACAATTTTGAAACTTTGGCAAAAAAGAAAAATTCTCTTTATATTCGTACCTTGTCCGACAACGTAAAAACAAATCCAAAACGTTTCTGGACTTGGATGAAGACTAAAACCAAGTCATCCTCTTATCCTTCTGTTATGACTTACGGGGACAAGGTCGCGGAAAATGCTAAGGACAAAGCCGTCTTGTTTAACTCTTATTTTCATTCTGTTTTTCAAAAAGATATGTCAATAACTGACCAGCATTTAGCTCTCCCTGAAGTTTCACTAGATATATTGGCATTGCCAGTTATTCAGTCTGAATCAGTTTATAAAGCGCTTTCTTCTGTAATAACTTCTAAAGCATCTGGGTGCGATGAACTGAGTAACCATGTTTTAAAGGTGTGTGCCAAGCCTCTTTCAGTTCCTGTCTGCAATATTTTCAACAAATCCCTGACTACAGGAAAGTTTCCCTCTATCTGGAAACAATCCAACATAGTTCCAATTTACAAATCAGGTTCAAAGAAGTCAGTAACTATAGACCTATTTCTCTGCCCATCTCAAAATTGTTTGAAAAAATTATGTTTAATCATATTTGGTCTCACGTTTCTATTGCCATTTCTCCTTGCCAGCATGGCTTCGTGCCCAGCAGGTCGTGCGAGACAAATCTAGCTTGTCTCCTGACTTCCGTTTACGAGGCTATTAATGACAAGGGGCAATGTTATATTATTTATTCCGATTTTTCTAAAGCATTTGATTTAGTTCCGCATAATTTACTTATTCTTAAATTAAAACAATATGGCTTTTGCCCTAATCTTTTATCATGGTTTAAAGATTTTTTAGATGGTAGACAGCAGCGAGTAGTCATTGGTGGAGAGACGTCGGGTTGGCTTCCAGTCCAATCTGGCGTCCCCCAAGGTTCCATTTTAGGACCTCTTCTTTTTAATTTGTATGTGAATGACATCCCACTTTTATTCGAACATTCAAAATGTCTTATGTTTGCAGATGACTTGAAAATTTGTAAAACAATTAAATGTCTTGAGGAGGCCAAAAAGCTTCAGGGAGACCTAAATAAACTCTGCTCTTGGTCTAAGTTATGGGGTATGGTACTCAATCCACTTAAGTGCAATACCTTAACTATTACTTTAAAGAAAAATAAAATCGATTATATCTATTTAGTTGACGACAAACCGATTAATAAGGCGCTGCAACATCGTGATTTTGGAGTTATTTTAGATAGCTCTCTTACTTTTCCTTTTCATATAGACCATCTTCTTAGGAAATGCAATATGTTGCTTGGATTGATGTGGCGCAACTCTAAATATCTGGACCCACATTCCAAAGCATACCTGTACATTACACTTATTCAACCTAAATTAGATTTTTGTTCCGTCATTTATAATTCTATCTCAAAAACTCAGGCTTCATGTATTGAACGCCTTCATTCCCGGTTTTTGCGTTACATCAGTCACAATCAGACTAATATTAATTTTAAGTTTTCAATAAATCACCCCAGTCCCGTAGAAATTTTAATGACCTTATATTTCTTTTTAAATGTTTGACTTCTATCTTTGATTGTGAATTAGTATCTAATTTTGTCCTTCGTGTTCCTGTCCGTATTTTAAGAAATAATGATGTTCTTTACGTTCCTTTAAGTAGAGTCAATATTTTTAAAAACCGGTTTATAATAGTAGATTAAGTTCCTCGTATAACAAGTTATTTCAGGACTATCCGTCTTTAGATTTATTTAACTCCAATCTGCACATTTTCCGTCGTAGCGTTTTAGGCGTGATTAGTTAAAAGTAATTTTGTTTGTGTTTCTGTTTCCGTCGTCTCGTCCTTTGTTAGCCATACTGTAAGTGGCGGATTTGTGTCCCCTGTTGTTTTGGTGAATAAATAAATAAATAAAAATACAAGAATATTCTGTTTTGGTAATCCAGGGCGTCGATCCGTTGTTGAAAGTAAGGGAGACGGTGTTAGGGTTAGGGTTGGGGCGAAATGCAAAATAAGAACGTCTTTTTTGGGGGGCGAGGGGCGGCTTAGGTCCCTGGTGGGGGTCCAACGGGTGAAGCCCCCGGAAGCTCTGGCACATATAGTCTTTTATATGTCGTATCTAATTGAATTTAAGGAATACGGTACATTTACATTTATTTCTACACTACATTTTCAAATACAGCGGCGGATCCAAGAATTTGAAATAGAGGGGGCCCAGGGAGGGGCTTTTAGAGGTGAAGAGTGTAGACCACCTCAGCCCCAACCATGGTAAGAATTTTCATATAATTTACTTTTTTCTCTATTTTTTATTTTTGGGAAAAAAATTAGGGAGGGTGGGCTAGCTGGGTCCCTTAAATCTGCCACTGAAATACTCATCATAAAAAGTTGTTCAAATTACCTGACTCGCGAAAAGGCCGCCTTCTGCCATCGTCGCCTATGAATCCACCCAGGTGTTTCTCACCTAGGTAGGGGTCTGGGATTACGCTAGAGTGGAGTCGGATGGTGACTCCTTGAAGATTTTGCATTTTTGTTGAGCCAGTTTTATGTTTTTCTTATTTTTTTAAACACTTTTTGTTTAATGTGAAGTGAATAGAAGCTTTTTTCATTACGCGCTATATAAATGTATTATTATTAATATTATTATTATTATTATTATTATTATTATTATTATTATTATTATTATTATTATTATTATCATCATCATCATCATCATCATTTAAAAAATCATTCTGTGAAGCCCAGTCGAACTATAATTTAGAAAGACCTTTGGAAATGAAAGTCAAATTACCTTTGAAATAAATAAAAACATGAGCCAATAATATTTTTTTTATAATGATAAAGCAGGTAAGATAGGCATACTGGTGAAGATTATGATAAAAAATGGATTGTACAATACATGCTAAAATTTAATGGATGTAGACATTCCTTATTCGTGTCATATTGACTTATTTTAGCATGATCAGGAGTTTATAATATTTTAATTCCATTATTTAGTGAACATATTATACGTGATCAGCCGCGAATACTGAAGTGGTACGTTCCGCTTTCCTATACTCTGCTGCTCCTTTCGCTATACTGTAACGTTATTTGCATAATGAATTCTCAAATGTGTTGCTTTTGTAGCGTTACCATCCTCGTCCAATATTTTGTAGATTCGTAAAATTATTTTTTATGATATTTTAATAGACATAAATAGGAGCTCAAAATATGCCAGTAATAAGACATTTAAAAGAATGGCACTGCGATATATTTCTTCCAGAGCTGTGCACGCGTCTGGACGGCAAATCGGCACAAACATAAGGCCTTACTCAATTTATAATATAGATAATATAGATAATCATAATTATCCCCGCTTACATATTGTGTGCAAACTGACATCCATAAAAATATAACGTAATGTCAACGTAGACGTAGCGTCAACGTAACGTTGGAGTTTATAAACTTGTGGTATCACTGTTTGAATAAATCAAAATAGATAGACCTGTCAGTGTCAAATGCTAATTATTGTTTAATAACGGCTATACAAAATTCAATTGGCTAAGTGTAATTTTTTTTTTAAGGAAAAAGAGGAATCTATGTATACAGATAATATTAAACACTAGTATATACGGGTCATAATAATATACAAAAGGAATAGATCGTTTATAGTAGAAATTGTGCACTTTTGAGTTAGTAAAAATATTGGCCTAATAGGTTTAACATGCTTCCAAAATTCGAATTTTAATAACGGTGGTTACTGAGATGGTTACGAAATGTACAAACAATTGCGTTTTTACTCGGTTTTGGTCAAGAAGTACGCACCTAATTTTAAAAAGAGAAAAACAGACAAAATTCATGACAGTCATGTGTAATTATTGTTCTTTACACTCGCTTTGAAAAGACTGGGGTTTTAATTATAGGAGATTGGTGAAAATTGGGGGAGGGCCTCCCCCTGTCCCCCACCGATCGACTCCATGATGGCCAGCATTTGGCTGATTGGGCTTCACAGAATGATTATTTTCTGGACGGATCCATATGATATGGTAAACGACGTCCGTCCTCCCACAGCAGGGGCGGATTTTGGATAGTGCCTTCCCCTTTTGGAAAGCAAGAAAAAGGAAAAAAAGAAAGAAAAAGAAAAAATTGATAAAAAGAAATAACAGAGGTTATTTTCGGGCGTCTAGAAAACAAAATTTTCTTGTTCGGACCCACTTTTGCCCCTCCCCTTTTCGGACATCTCTGGATCCTCCCCTGCAAATAACCCGGAGCCGCCTTCAAATAATCTGGACCCGTCCAATAACCTCACAATTTCGCAAAAGGCCGTCGAGGGCGGCCTTTACCAGAGTAATAATAATAATAATAATAATAATAATAATAATATTGATAGTAATATTGATAATAATAATAACAATAATAATAATAACAATAATAACAATAATAACAATAATAATAATAATAATTATTATTATTATTATTATTATTATTATTAATATTATTATTATTATATTGATAATAATCCTGACAATGATCTGTACACTATTCTTGCTCAATTTGAAATGAAATTTTCCGAGAACCTGGCAACTACCACGGGGGTGGGGGCCATCTCGCGCTCTACGTAACCATGAAGTGGTCCTTCAGAAAACGAGTTTCGAGCAACCTCTATTTGAAATCTAATAGTGCGCCACTTATCTTGTGGTAGTATTTTTTGGACGTTTCATTGCATGCATACAGGGCAGTTGGACCTACGTTTTCTTTTTTCTGTGACTGGAGCACGACTTTGTTGTTGTAGTATTTTGAACCATATAGGCCTACTAAGCCATAAAATCACTCTCCCCTTGAACCCTGCCAAGGATTGTTTATTCCGGGCAGTCGACCGATGCTCTAGTCGCCCCCTTGTTCGGACCCCCTGTTTCAAAATAGACCGGCCAATAAAATGTTGTATATAATGAGTGCATTCTTTTTATTTTAAGGAAACTGAAGAGGACGTCAGTTCCTGCGATAGCAAAAGAGAGCAGCGCAGATACACCTATCTACTACATCAATGAAACAAATTTAAAGGGTCAGGCAGATAAGACGGTTTATCAGACATTAATTTTACCAGATGAACACACATACGAAACTCTAATTAAGTACAAATAACATGCGTGATAATTCTACAGAAAAGGCATTTGACGACACGTGTAAGAAGTTACCACCCCACGATTGTCATTATAAAAAATATTTCCCATAATTATTACTATAAAATTATTTGAAATTGTTTTCCTCCATGATATAAACGCCTTTTATATATTTTTTTTAAAGACGCCCTTGAGTTCGTGGATTTTGAGATAAGATTGCGTTTCAACGAAACCCAGAGAGAGTCGGATATCTTGCAGTTTTATACTTTTTCTACACTCATTCAGTTTTATAATTGATAAACTGTGTTCATTATTACAATCATTTTAGTTTAAACTAATTTTGAAAATATCGTCGCTGTACAGCCTAACATTTGGTCTATTCATGTGAACTAGATGTTGTGTTTTAGCATGGCAATTATTCTCCTGAAGACGATTGAAGTGCAACTCAATCGAAACCGTCCAGACATTCTCAACAAAATTTCTTTTCAGAAATGTCTACGTGGTGTACCACAAGCATTAATTATTATGACAATTATTCGTTATTCAAAAAGCAATACCGGTAATCATTCATTCTTTATTGTCTTTCTTAACGGTGGTTAGATACCGGTACTGTACAAACTATGGTATAGTGGCTAAATAATATAGTAATAGTCACGACTGACTTATGATTGTAATTTTTCTATTTCATCTTCACCTCTTGGGAAAAAAACCATTGGTTAACGAGGTTTTATATTGTATTTTATATACTTTGTGGATAAATATGTTGATTGATTGATATTATGCAACTGAATTAATGGTGAATATTAAACATTTGTTATAGTTGCATTTATTGTTAACTATTTTGTCTTTTAAAAAATAATTAGATTTAACAAAATTTTACCATATTGTCATAGGGCTGTGTTTGTTGTCACAGGCACATATATCATACTCTTGTTTGTCTTTGCAGTTCATTTTTAATATATACGGTAAATTATAATAATTGGAATGATCTACAACATAGAACTATAAATTATAATTATATTATACAACTTATATTGTGCAACATAACGAATTATGTTATATTTTTACATTCTTTATATCTGCATTTAATAATTAGTTTACTATTATTATGTCATAGAAATAGTTAAATTAAACAATACTGTAGTTCGCTATACTACACAGTTCATCATAGACAAGTATAATCTGTGTCTGCGGGTGTCTGCAATTTTAATTTTAATATTTATAGGCCGTAAAAATTGCTACCTTATTTGTGTCCCTACATTTTTTAAACGGCGGTGGCACCGGAAATTTGCCGACAAGGGGTCCGACATGTCCGACAGAGGGGTCGAGTCAAGGTGCCAACGAAGCCTTGGTCGACGGCCCAGAATAAAAACTTCATTGTAGGGTCGCGGGGAGAGTTTTATGGCTTAATATAGTCCAAAATGTGTTTTTAGACCACAATATTAGGGATTGGTAGTCAAAATAACGTTTTTGTTCATTTTTGCGTCCGGACGACAGGGGGTCCAAGCTGTCGGGGGGGGGGGGAAATGCCCACCCTGCCCCCCCCCCCTCGACACTCTGTCTCTTATACATATAGGAACATGATGTTATAAACCATATAAACATATTCACCAATGTAAGTTCCTTATTATTTGTATGAATAAAAGAGGTTTCTGGTAGGAATCGAACCCACAATCTCGCGTTATCTCGGCGAACACATACCGTTTAGACCACATAGGACCGTACGATATTATTACGGATATAAGACCATCTCTCCATTCATACAACTTGAGGGCTCATGTGGAGCAAATTTTAAGCTATAAATAGCTTATACTATTATAGTAGGCCTATAAGCTATTCAAATAAAGTTGCTGCTTAGCACTGGGAATACAAATATTGCATAAATCAAACAGATATACAGTGCTCAATAATAATTATAAGAACATTATGTTATAAATCGCATCAAACAGTTCATCAACGAAAGTTTCTTATTATAATTGTATGAAAAAAGAGGTCTCTGGTGGGAATCGAACCCGCAATCTCTCGCTATCTCGGCGATCGTCATACTGTTTAGACCACGGAGGACCGTATAATATCATTACTGATTTTTAAGCTACGAAATAGCTCATAGGTAGCAGCTGGTAAATCAAGGAAATAATGTTCAAATCATGTTGCTGCTTAGCACTTTGAACACGAAAAATGTTCGACACGAAAGTACAATATTAGACAGTGGAGGATCATGAATTCAGAATTGAGACCACAACTATTTCAAACTAATTTTATAAAAATTATTGCTCCCTCCTATTTTTTTAAAATACTCAGGTAAAAGCAATGCAAGACAAAACATACAAACAAGATATTAATTACCTGAGGATTGCCACTTATACCAATTGGTTCTCCTATACTAAGCATCTTTACATAAAGCATAAAATATAAACGATTCTAACAGATCAGCAATGACAATTAAAACAATTTACAGTAATCTGAACCAATGTCTAGGTTAAAGATACAGTATTTCATTATTGATAAGGCACCTAATGATTAGCAGTAGATGTTTATAACACTGCTGTAAGATAAGAAAAATAATGGAACCATGAAAAATTGGTCTACAAATCTAGCAGATGCCAAACATTTTCTTGGACTCCGTGCGCACCCCTTCGATATGGAGGACCCCCCCATTATTTTTCGCAAACCCCCTAAGGGGTCCGTGAACCCCAGGTTGGGAACCAATGGTTTAGACCGCAGAGGCCCGCACGATATCATTCTGTAATCTATTACCACTAGTTTCTCTCTCTTCATTACAACTTGAGGGCTCATACATGGTGATGCAAATTTTCAATAGCTTTTAGGTAGCAGCTGGTACCGTAAATGAATTCGATCCAACTCGGCCACAAGTCAACTCGGCCACAGTCAACTCGGCCACAAGTTAACTCGGCCACAAGTCAACTCGGCCACAAAAAGTTTGGCTACAGTCAACTCGGCCACAAGTCAACCCGGCCACAAGTCAACTCGGCCACAAGTCATTTACTGCTACTACACTTTGAAGAAGTAATTCATCAAGTATAAAATACTAATTCTTTAAGTATTATTATACTTAATGGTATTATTATTGCTGTTATTATTGTTGTCATTGTTGTTATTATTATTGTTGTTTTTATGACCGTTAGTTTTAATATTAATTATTAGTCTTAGCATTAATATTATATATTGTTCAAATTTTTGCTGATATTATTATTACAGTACCATATAAATAATAAATAATTTTCGATTTATTATTATTATTATTATTATTTATTAGTCTTAGTATTATTATTTTAATAATAGTAATTTAAAAAGTTATTGGTGTTTTATTGGTATTTTTCTCATATTATTATTAATATTATTGTTGTAGTTGTTGTTGTCACCTTTATTATCAATATTATCACCCTATAAGTAGGCCTAGAATTATAAGTATCATTATTATTATTACTAATTAGTATTACTATTATTATAAAAATAAACATTATCTTTAATTTATTATTGTTGTATTATTGCTATTATCACCTTCAATATCATTATTATCATTGATATTGATATTAAAATATCGTAATTATTACCATACTAGTATCATTACTATTAGTATTGTTAAAATAAATATTACTATTAATGTTGTTGTTGTTGTTATCACCTTTTTTATCGTCATAATGATTAATTAGTATTATTAAAGTAAATATTACTAATTTATTTTCGTTATTGTTGTTTAATATTATTGCTGAAGTAGAATGTTGTGAGTAAACAGAAGACGAATACCTTAATAAATAACTCTTTTTAATTCATAGGCAATAGCATTCAAATCTCTTTAGTGTGGTGGCCCTGTTTTACTAAAATATACTGTGTACTTTATTTCAATCATTGAAGAAAAAGGATGCAAAAACTGAGATTTACATTAAATAACTTGTGGCCGAGTTGACTTGTGGCCGAGTTGAATTGTGACCGAGTTGGCTGTAGCCGAACTTTTTGTGGCCGAGTTGATTTGTGGCCGAGTTGACCAGTAGCCGAGTTGACTTGTGGCCGAGTTGACTTGTGGCCGAGTTGAGTGTGGCCGAGTTGGCTTGTGGCCGAGTTGACCTGCACCCCCGTAGAATCATAGGAAATGATATATACAAATCAAGTTTCTGCTCGAAATAGAGATAATGTATACATCAAATAGATAATAATACAGTGCTCAAATATATAGGAACATGATGTTATAAATGGTACCAGTCATCATCAACGAAAGTTCCTTATTATAGTTGTATGAAAAAAAAAATCTCTAGTGGGATTCCAACCCGCAATCTCTCGCTATCTCGGCGAGCGTCATACCGTTTAGACCACAGAAAATGTAATTCTGCTTCAGTAGAGACAAATAAAACATTAACCTTCGTAAATTCCTAAGCAACTTAAACGGCAAGACGAGACGAGCCGTCCACACACGGATGAGGAACGACCGTTTGAAGTATTTTTTGAGTTTTATTTCGAAGGGTTTATTTTTGTTCCAATAGTCAACGACGAACACTTGATTTATTCTGTGTTGCAAACGAATACCATATGAATGGACTTTAGAAACACTTTATTGGAGAAAACAAATGTTTACACCTCT